TCTTGGCAAAATTATCAAATTTATCATGAAATTATAAATTTTGAAAAAAAGGATCAAAAAATATGAAAATATGATTATAAATTTTTAGGCCAAATAATAATGCAGTATTGTTTTGATAAATTAGTAACTTAGATTTTATTCTAATTAGTTGAAAGTGGTTGCCATATCGAATTTTCAATTTGAGAGAAGTAAGAAAGATTAGAGTGAAAAGAAAAAGGTGAGGAAATGAAAAGATATAAAAGCAATTATTTTTGAAGGAAATAAAATTTCCAAATTCAAACTAAGTGAATATACGAAATTTTGAAATTCAATTTATATAAATGTGTCATTTTGAGAACTTTTCACTGAAAATTTTTCTTGAAAAACTATCGTAGAATTAACGAAAGGTTAAAGTTCATTTATAACATTATTCATAAGTGAGTTAAATGATTGAATTGAATTTGTAGTAAATTAAAAATTTGAATCGATAAAAACCTTTCCATATTGTTTATTAAGTCTATTTACCTGAAATCTTACGGTGATGAATTTATTCGGTAAAAATAATCATATTTGCATAAATTAAGTTGCAATCATTAAATTACAATTACAACTACAGACAGTTTCAGTGAGGGATAAATACGGTAATGGCAACAAATGTAAATGCGATGATTTCTTCAACGTTGTTATAAGATTGATGCTACGTATATTTCTCGAATTTCTTCTTTGGATTTTCTGAAATTCTGATTTTCATAAATTATTTAACTTTTAAATTTTTGATGAATTTTAGGATTACTATTTATTTTCACGTATTTGCTGAAATTTCTGTTTCATCAACACACAAACACATACAATTATTCAAAAATGCATGAAACTCTGTGGTGAAATTTACTGCCATTTAAACTTTCCCTTTACTTTCTCCGTCCTTTTCTACCAAAATCAAATATTATAATATCCATTTCATTAATGAAAAGAATAAGAAGTTTCGTTAAAAAGTTGCACAGTAGGAATTGTTTAAATTTGTTAGTTCCTTATAGCAAAGAAATTCAAAAATATAAATTTAAAAAATTGCAATGGCTGAAAAACCAAATATTTCAAAAGATTTCTGTGAATGAAAAATTTTCAAAAGCTTTAAAAGTAATTTCAAAATATAAGTAATTCGAGACAGCCGAAAGTCTGAAACTGAAAGTTAGGTATTAAAAGCAGAAAGAAATGAAAAAAGCAAAATTTTAAAAATTTAAATGTTTTCGAAAGTCTTTAATACTTCAATAAATGGAGTATTGTAATTTTATCAATGCCTTTTCTTCATTTTAATCGATTACTTTCCTCCTTTTGTTTTAATAAAAATTACAGATTTACTCATCAACATTTTATGAATGATTCATCATCCCATAATTAATACTACAATAATTGTCTGCCCAATAAGTTTGCGAGCAGAAAAACAGTGCAAAGAATTTTATTCATTGAAATGAAATAAAGAGAAATAGTTAATGAATAGCAGCAAACTATTAATAATTAACTGCCAGGAACAAAATGAATAATATACAGGTGAAGAATAACAGTAACAGTAAGAAATGAAAAAAGAAAATTATGAATGAATAATTAAATTGCAAGAATTCGATTAACGAAATACCGAAAAAATTTGTAATGTCGGAGACAGGAACGAGTATTTCAGTTCAAAATTCGCTTGGCTGTTTCTTTTACCAATATAAACTATCATTGTTTGTGATTTCAAAAGGAATTGCTTGAGGAAACTTTGGTTGCATACAATTCAACTGAAAAAGAGCTACTTATTGCTATGAGTTTGCATGTGCTCTTTAAATTTATCACTTCGATAGAAACGTTTCTCGCATGTTCGACAATTGTACAGCTTTTTACTGGTACAAGTCTTCATATGTTTCTTCAAATACGGTGACTGAGAAAAACTTTTATTGCATATCGGGCAACTGTAAGGCTTTTCACCAGTATGAATCCTCTCATGTCTCATCAAATGCGATGATCGTAAAAAACTTTGATTGCATATCGGGCAACTGTACGGCTTTTCATTGGTATGAATCCTCTTATGCTGTCTCATATTGGATGGATCAGAGAAACTTTGATTGCATATCGAACAGCTGTACGGCTTTTCACCGGCATGAATCCTCTCATGTCTTATGAAATATGAATGAGAGAAACTTTTCCCGCATATCGTGCAACGGAACGACTTTTTACTAGTATGCGTTCTCCTAATAGCACTCAAATGCGATGATTGAGGGAGACTTTCCATCTGTCCTTTATTCGTTTCATTAATTGATAAATTCTCTAATTGTATTCGTTCCTCACTCACTTTCCGCACCGATAAATCCAACGGTTCTGTTTGTACCGTTTGTGCTTCCTGAAATTATATGAAATTATCCATCTCATTCAACGTTAAATATTTGATGTCTTTGAAATATTGAAATGTTTTATTTTTTAAATCTTTAATGAACTCACTGAAGTTTGAATGTTTAATTGGAAGAAAGAAGAAAGGAAGATGAAATAGATAAAATGCATATTGATTGATATGATTTCTTTCCGATTCTGAAAAATATTCAAATTTACCGATACACTGTGAATGTTACCTCTAAAAAGCACATCGCACGCTCTTACTTTAAAAAGAAATTTCTTCAACACAATGCATTTCAAAATATATTAGCATCGGAAGCGCACAGTCACGCACTCATTGCTAATACAATAAAGGCATTATTCATTCATGTATAAGCATAACAATTTACTCTCTGTGGAAATCGGTCGCGGATGCTTTAAAGATAAATTTTATAGAAAGATAATTCTGATTTCAAAAAAGGCTGCTTATTTATAGTTTTATTGTGATGTCGTAAAATCTTCCACATAACGCGAATTTTTGGGAAGAGGCTGACATTTTTGTTGAAATAAATGAAATAGCGTTTACTGCATGAAATTTGTGGAAGGACAACGATCGCCAAGAAGCTTTTGTTAGAAACTGCCAAAGGATCATTTCTGTAAATGATTGTAAAGGTGGGAATGACGAACAATGTGTATTAATAATCCATGGTTAAAATAAAATAACAGCAATTGATGTTTAATCTATCATACTGAATAATTTCATATTAGCAATTTTATTGAACTGCGACAAATAACAAAATGATAGCATTTTTTGCACGTCTTCATTTTAATTCATATCAATTTTTCCATACTTTCAAAACTGAGGTAGTATTAGTGAGAGGGAAAGAACTTGTAGTAATATAAATTGCAATAGAAAACTGTTTTGTCAAAATTGACTTTTTTTAGATCGCATAGCAAAAAGCTTTTTCATTATCACTTGACACTAAATATCGGAAGAGATCGGTGGAGAATGGTAATGATGCCAGTTAGAAAATTTTCACCCTACTGAATACCACCGAGAACTCCGATAAACATCGGGTATTAAGAATTATTAAACGAAGACAGTTTAGCAAAATTCCTGAGCTTTATTGCAGTTCAACATATAACATAATTGCACAATTAGTAGTATTTAGTGCCTCCAGCATGAACTTTATTATTCCATTATTGTACAAGTTATTATCACAATATTAGACAAATCAATACTGCATTTATACTAGAGATGGTTAATGCCGAATTTATGCGAGTGCCAGACTTTTGAGGTAGGTTCTATATTGGGGGTCATTGATTTTATAGTAACTGTTCAAAATGTATACAATCTGTTGCTATTACTTTAGATT